CAATAATCCTGTAGATTTGTTTTAATATCTGTTCGAGACGCCAGAACATTCTGCAACAAAATTCTGTTCACTGACGACGCAACATTTACAAATGGAGGACGAGTGAACTTAAAAAATACGCACTATTGTGCAACGGAGACTCCGCACTCAATCCGGGAAGTAGAACATCTGCGGCGGTGGCGCGTATACGTGTGATTTTCCTCAGTGTACAAGATTTTTTCTTTTTCCCTGGATTAAAATAGGCTCCCCAAAATTAAAATTTAATAAAGGTATTTATACACACATGTCCACTGAAATGAATGTGATTTCGAACACCCTTCCTTCCTGGCGCATGTAGAACTTGTGATAGTCCAAAACCGAGGTCGTTAGCATTGCCAGTAAGAGCACAGGAATTCCCGTAATCTGCGAAAATTCTCGTTTTCTGACAAGGTGCGTCGACTCACGTATACGATATCAAAAAGGTCAGCTGTTCTTGTGCGCTGCAGCATGGCGTTTATCAAGTTCTAATTGCGCTGAAAAACGCTAGAAAAAAACTACGTTGTGTCACTATCTCTAAAATTACATACGGTACTAACAAGAAAACAAAATGTTATTTGCCCCATTATCTGCAACAACATGGCGCAAACAGCATCTCAATACCTCAAACCGTTTTAAAAATATTTACTGTGGCCTACTTCGGTGGTCCACCCTGTGTGTGTGCGTGAGAGTGTGTGTGTGTTTGTGTGGCCGGTCAGATGGCCGTGATGGTTAGGGCAGTTGTGCCGTAGCGGTCTCGGACCAGAAGACCGCGGGTGTTGGAGTCCCGCCCTGTACGTATGTGTATATGTATGCGTATATGTGTGTGCCGTCCATTCATCCCTCACCATCATCATCTCATCGTCCATATCCCAAGGCTAATAAAATGGGGATGAGGGATAAAAATCGAGCTTCAGCTAAAATGTGGGGGGACGCCCCCCCCCTTCCACCAGAAAAGGGTACTTGCACTGGCTGGGGAGCAGGGACAGACACCACACGCGCACACACACACACACACACACACACACACACAACACCCTATTATATATAATATATATATATATATATATATATATAACTATATAGATATTTATATGTGTGTGTGTGTGTGTGTGTGTGTGTGTGTGTGTGTGTGTGCATATTTATTTATACACACATATGTACACACATATTTATTTGTCTACAAATACAAATTAACACAGAAGTTAAAAACAATTCAATTAGTGTAAATTGGGTGCTTTTTTTTTTATTTTTGACGTAATTTTTCATTGTGAGCAAATACAATACATTCAGTTCTTTTGTCAATAATAAACAATTTACATTTTTCTGAAGAGTTTTAAGGTTTCTGAAATGTAAATTCCTACGTACAAAGCATTTTTTAAAACCAACTTTTGAGAGCTTATTGCCGCTCAGCCATTCGAAATCTCGAAGGAGTATATTATAAAATATGCTTAAAATTGACTACCGCGCCTATAAGTATTTTTACTACGCTTAATTATATTTGAATAAATACACGTGAAATAATCATAGTATTATTTTGTTTTGTGATATACAATAAAAAATTTTAATTAACATTTAAAAATACACAAAACTCACTTAAAATCACTTACCTGCCAACACTGATGGGCATTTGAAATAACCATTTAACTTTTCTCGCTTCAAAGCACAAATCCTCCTTTGTTGTCTTTCTTCTGAGAGTTATACAATTTTGCTTTCCTGATTTATGGGAACAGTAGGGAATCTAAAAGGCTTTCTCTGTCTCTACCCGCTTGTCCACTACCACACACTTGGTTATCATGAAACCACAACTTTATTTTAGAGGTGAAAAAGTAATTTTACTGCGAGACAGTGTACCTAAACAAAACAAAAATGTTATAAAACCATCACAGGTAGAGGAAAACCTCCAACAAAGAATGATCTCGACATTCCTAAAGAAAATCGACATACCGGAATTTAACCATTAGCTCGCGGCATCCAGAATTTGCTGCTTATCACTCGGAGGCGACGGTCGGCGATCACCTCACAAGCCATAAAAGTCACGTATTCCGGACATCTCCATTGGAGTAGAGGAGACTCCCTCCGTATATTTTTATAAACTGTTCGCTTTTAAAATGTTTATTTTAGAAAATTGTATTAATTATTGTCATTGAAAGGTATTGGCTACATTAGGTTTTAATAATCGTTCAGAAAAATCCAGAATGTTCATAAATGTCCCAAAAATGTACGTAACGTTTCACGGAATGCGAGAACCTTAAACACTAACTTCGCCAAATTTTGACATAATGTAACAGGGGCGGCTGGTGCCCCAACAAAGTAGAGGTGTCAGCTCCATCGAATGACAGAAATGTAATTTCCAAAATCCATATTCCTAATATTAAAATAATGTAAGCAATTCATGTAAATTAATTAAAACTAAGTTTAACAAAAGTTTACATTGATACATACCTTACATAATTCTATGTGTAGTGTCGATGTCAGATATATTCACCTCCCGCGCACGTGGTTCTGGCTTTGATTTTCAATGGGCACTCAAGTTTTAGTATTATTTATTTATGCACTGAGACAACTGACGCTGATAGAATTCATACAACACAAAGAAGAACTTGGTTTCGAAAATTTGTAATGTTCGCACTCCAGTACTTTGGAACAAGCACTATTTTTAGACAATACACTTTTTACAGAAATAAAATTATTTCTAAAATTTTATTACCCTGTTATGTATTGCAATAAAGAAATATCTTCCACACACACACACTCGTATTCACAACAATTCTTGCACATTGTAACTCAACTCTAACCCGCTGTAAGCCGGAAATATGCACAACCTTGAGAGACAGAAAGGGACTTTCTCCCAAAATGACCAAATTTATACAAAGAGCTCATCAAAAGTACATTTTGAATCAACAAATCTAGTATCAAATGAAAATAAATTCTCCAAACGTTAGAAATAACGCATCAATACCGTCAATAATTGACTGAACTTGCACTCTTTCAATAACATGCGAAATTCATAAAATTAAGTTACAGCTAGTATTGACAAAGAAAGAAAATTGGCATTTCCCTCGGAAGCCGCGCCGCGCTTAGTGACCAGACCCCAACCAATGGAAGAAGACGGGTTGCCAAACCGAATTTGAAACCACTGTTGAAACGGCCAAAGAGTAAACGCTTTAATTGCAGTAATAGTATGGTGTTAATCTATGGTAATAGTGGCAAAAGCGTGACATGCAAGACAGTTACGCCGGAGAAAGCGCTCTTTGGTTTCAAAATTATTTCATATAAATCGATTTTGCTGCAATATCTTGAATATTTAATGCTATCAAAAGGAAAATGTATATTCCTAACATACTATTAATTTTTTTATTATCTGAGGTTGAATTTTAAAACAATAAACGTTGTCTGTACAAAATGCACATTTTGACGATTGAGTTTCTAATTGTGTTATCCCTAATGTCTTTTTTGCGTAATAAATCTTCCCTTCGCCTTTCCTTATTTTAATAAAATGAACAACTGGCATTTTATTTGGATATGAGTGATGCACATTTCAAGTTTGAAATATGTTAAATATTTGTTAATTGAAAGTTATGTAACGAAAAATTGCATGATTTTAAGATACATATTGCCATTAGTACAGATTCCGATGTAAAAAATGTTAACATTTTTTATTAACAGTGATGTCTTCATTTCATTTTCCTCAACTAATTTTAATTAACATTTGGCACCATTTGTTGTGATACAATTAACACATATTTCATAACCCTGGCGGAGAAGTGAAGTTGATTTTAGTGGCTCATCCATTATTTGAAGCTGTATTAGTTCAGAAAATGCGTGTAAATGTCGTATTAATAGTGAGATAGTAATAAGTCCTTTTTAGTGCGTTGTTTATATTATTGCTAAAATATGGAAAGTTGGCAAACGTTTGCAGGGGAAACTTCTCAGAATGACAGGAAAATGTTTAGGCGTTTGACTGCGATTTACGATGCTGATGGTACCAGTATGAGGCCACTATTGACTTCACATAACAATCTAACTTTTCTCGCTTCAAATCAGAAATTCACTTTTATCGTCTGTGTTCTGAGAGTGCTATAATTTAACATTTTCGTTTTCTGGAAACAGTACGGAATCTAAAAAGAAAACAAAGTCACTCCCGCCCTTTTTGCCTCAGTCCACTACCACACACAACTTGATTATCATGGATATACAACTGTATTTTAAAGAAAAAGAAGAGAAACTCACTACGAGAAAGAGTACCTACACAAAACAAAAATGTTTTAAAATCATTATAGAGAAGAAAACACCCAAAAAGAATTATATCGGCGTATTGAAAGAAAATTAACACGTATGCCGTATTCTAACCATTAGCTCGCAGCATCCAGCATTTTACACTTGCCACCCAGAGGCGATAGTGCTGCCCTCACCAGCAAGTCTTGTGTTGTCTCTGTTTTGGACTCAGAGCTCGTAATAGTTTCTAAATTCACCATTATAACGCTAGTATCGTCGATCGAGTGGAATCTAGTAGCTCTATTACTTATATGATGCCCTATGTTCTCGTAAACTCTCTGCCTTTCTCTTAATTCGTATCCCAGAGCCGGGTGCAAAAATATGTACGTTTATCCCTGTTACAATTAGAAGGAACATTCTGAATTCCTTAATTCCTTCCTGATCATTTGTGTTTGTGTTCCAGTAATAAATTAACATGCAACACTGATTTAGTTTATGATGCAAAAGATGTCAGCACCACATAGAAAGAACATCCCTTAACTAATAGCTACATAACACAAGAGTAACAAGCTTCAATGTCTAGATTTCATTACAGTATTTAAAATACTTGAATTATCGCCGAATGACTTCGCCATTCTCCGTTCATTTAATAAAGTACGGATTTAAAATATAATGGAGTGTATTAAGGCATTCTCTATATCGCAAAACTACAAACGTTTCGTGAATTACGAAAAAAGATGTACAAGATATACTTGCTAACTTATTTCAGTGTACTATGCGTGTACTCAGTGTGACGAGGTGTCTCCCTTGTGCAGATGGTGAAGCTTCCTTTTTAAAGGTTATTGAGCTTCACGGAAAAATAGAAATGAATAATATTAGTATTGTAGAATCAGCAATATAATTAAAATGAAATGACAAATATCCCTTCCGAAAATAACATTCTATTGGAGATTGGAACAGACAAAGACCGAAACTTTGATGTGACAGTGCTGGCGGCCGTCGAGTTGGTATGAAAAATGAATTGAGAAGTGCCAGAGGCGGCAACAGTGAAGGCAAACCTGACATAGGTTTCTACGACATAAAATATTATTTTCTACTGTTGTTAGTACTTTCAAATTTTAAAATTCAAACGAAAATTTTTTTTTGTGTTCATTATAAGAATATACAGGGTTGAATTACAAATTTGATGTTAGCAGTACATTGATTCATGCCTGTTTGCAGCCTGCCATATTGGAGTCTCATGAAGGGATTTGGTTGGTTTCTCGGCAATAGTTGATATGGAAGAAACGAAAATAATTTACCACATAGACGACGAAGAAACACCGTATCTAGTGAAGTTGACAATTGCCCCCGAGCGAGTTACTTTAGCGGACTTCAAAAATGTTCTCAATCGGCCCAATTACAAGTTCTTTTTCAAGTCCATGGATGACGATTTTGGGTAAGATAATAGTGTGAATTGACATATAAAGTGTTTCGAGGTGTGGAAATCATGTGTTCGCTCGTATTTTATTGATAACTCGTCTTGGCTACACGATTTTTTTCTACTATACGTGTATTTGTCCCCTGTCACTATAGTGCGTTGACTTGTTGACATTTGGGTTTGTGAGTGCATGTAGGCGGTACTGTGAATTGTTACTTATAGCATTTGTGAATGGTGTTTTGCAGTGTTGTTAAAGAAGAAATTATTGATGATGATGCCCATTTGCCATGCTTCAACGGCAGAGTTGTTTCATGGGTAAGTTGTGTTGTGTAGTGAGTTCCTCCATAATACATATCACTGTGACATGTTTGTAAAAATATTCGAGTGAGGGAATGAGTTGAATATTCAAGATATTGCAGATTATTAGTGTGTTATTACCATCATTTTATGTATAGCATTGCACACTTCTGATGCACTCTCTGGAAATATTAATGTATTTGGACTTGAAGGAGAGAAAAAGGTTACTTTTGACATTGAGCTAAATCGTATTTGCAGTTGTTCTTGTGGTAACTAAAAGCAAGTGTTGCTGTCTTCCTGATGTCCAATCACTTGTGAAAACAAAATTGAGGAATTGTGATTCTGTGTGTGTGTGTCATTTATATGATAGTAGTATGTTTTATACAATATATAATTAAAGTGTGATCCAGAATTGGTAAGTTGTGAAGTTGAAATTTAATTCAGCTTGCACTGATTATTAGTATATCACATAAAATATTGAAAACTGACATATTTCTGAAAGTTTACAAATGTTTGTCTTCTTAGCAACTTGAAGTGATTTTTATAGAAATTAAAATATCCAAATGGAAATGTAGAAGTGCATTGGAGGGGTATGTTGCTTGTTCAAAATGTGATTGGTCAGATGTCAATTAATCTAATAATAGATCACCTTGAACATCATAGGTGAATGAACTCATATTATTCTTCTGGGTGTATCTATTTCATTTTGACTCTACATTTGAATTAACCTTTTCCCTACTGAAATTGTGCAATGTTTATGAAAATGTTCTTTATTGATTGCGATATTCACAAGAAAATTTGTATTCTTCAAATGACAGTTCTGTAAGTTGTGATAGTGTTAATAGTTACAATATTTGGGAATTGACATGTTGTTAAATTCCAAGTACATATTTATGTATTGACAGGCTGTTGTTAAAATTTGTTGTTAGTTAATTTCTTTGCCTTGATTCAGAAATCATGAAGTGGCGTAACATTATGAATTTGCTTTAATTCTTCATCTTTAATTTTTGAATTTGCTCCATAGTTGCCTTCAATATTTCTAAATAAATCACTGTAGGTTGTTTATATCTTGAAACACAGATGTTACATTAGAAATAGAATAAAGTATAGTCCGAATGTGTAATCAAACTTACATTTTACAATAGTGTGCGTGTGTGCCAACCTTGAATCAGCTTTGTTGCAATGTGTTGGCTAATTACTAATTATTTTTTACATATTATTTTAGGTGAGGTAGTGAGAATATAGTGTGTAGAAGGAATCACAATACACATAAGTGATAATATGCAAAAGCACTCATCATTTTGTTATTTGGAATTTTTTATAGTATCGCTGATGAACATATTATGTATAGATCAGATTTCACTGTTAAGCGAGGAATACAACGACAATTGTTGTTGTTTGTATTTGAAAAAAGTGCTAGTTAGGCTACCTAGGTGGTTGCGTATTTTATGGTCATTATTAAGCTTTAGGATGTGTAATATGCTTGTAATGTATCTTTTGTACTAACAAAAATATTCCTTCTAAGTAATTATAATTTGTAAAGAAAAAACTATGATTTGTGAATTTTTTAAAATAACAATTTTTTTAATTAAATAAGAAAGTATTTAGTTAAAAATTCCTTAAATATTACAGGAAATCAAAGTTACTCATTTCTTCATAATTTCCCTATATTATTTCTTCCATACTGCGTTTGTTAAGTAAATGTTTTCTTAGACCTTACTGTTCTGAAACGTTTAGTAAATTGCAAATCTTGTAAAATGTGATGTGTTGGATGCTAAACTGCTCCCAAAATTGTAAGTCGTAATTTTTCTATTCATTTTTTAAGAAAAACAACGGTTTAGAGATCAAGAAATCTGTGTTAATGTTAACATGTTGGCCACATTATATGGCTTGATTTTTCGTTTATTCCATACTTTGAAATGTTCATATGAATATTATTAATATCAGATATTTAGATTCAAAGACATTTTGCTAGTTTTATTTTAAAGATTATTAATTCACTATGACACTTCATTAATTTCTGCAAATCCCTTGTTGCTCAGATTTATTGAAATACAGGAACTGATGTATGGTCTGTTTTGAAAGATTGGAGAATAAAATTAAATAACCATACCAATTTCTCAAATTCATAATTTCTTTCTCCATAATTGTTAATTTGTGTGAGAGAAGATGTGGAGATAAGTTTCTTCATATATTAATTTGTTAGAGATTGTTCAAGATCTTTCTGATTAGTAATATACATACAAACATACAAAGTACATTTGTTCTATCTTCTCATTTGATTGGTTATTGAGACTAAAGCCATTATATAATATTGCTTTAGTGGTAACAGTTGTTGGAAACATTTGTGATGTGTCTACTGTATTACCAAATTTGTATTTTGCATGTTGTAGTGTTTAAAATGTTTAATTTTTTTGTCACAGTTGGTGTCAGCAGAAGGCAGTAATGTATCGGATGGTACATCGCAGTGCACTGAAAGTGTCACTCATTCAGACATGAAAGTTCCTTTGGACCGCCAAACAGATATGCAGTAAGTATTTTCTAAGTGTTTCAGTATGATAATACTTATGAAAGCATTTTAAAAATGAAAACAAATTTCAATCTTGATGCCAAATTTGGTGAGGGTTTAGCCTAAATATTTTTAACCACCTTTCTTGAGAAGTAATGATCAAAGGAGCTGTTACTTTTGGAGCATCACAAATGGGAATGAAAATAGTTGATCTTTTGTCCCCCATTCCTAGAAATTGAGACTAGAATCGTGATGTGTTTCATCCTTCAAAAATTAGCTTCATTTGAAGTCATTAATTATTACTGATTAGATGTTGATTTACTAAAATATGCCTCTCCTATTTTAGTATTGTGAATACAGTTCACAATCCTAGAACAACTTTGGAAGATACAACTTGCACAGAAACTGAATCCATCATTAGTTCTCGTCAAGGTAAGTTTTAAGAATAAATTGAAAACAAGGTGTACAGTTAAATCACGGTAAGTTCTGCAAAATTTGTTCTTTTATTTTAAAATTGTGGAAAACATGATAGCTGCTTGCTTTTGGCTGCTTATCATGCATGCATATGTTAGAACTTATTGCTTAAATAGTTTGTCATTAGTTGCTGGGATGAATTTTAGATTGTCATTTTCTGAATAATAAATGCACTATGTTAGTGTCTTTTGAATTCTGAAAGTTTTGTATTTAGCAAGGATAAATAGTAGTGTTAAAATGACTTGATTTGCATACAGATGCTTCACAAAGAGCTTTGAAAATACTTCGGAGAGGACAAAAACTTATAAAAAGTTGTGAACTACTGTGTGATTTTAACAAGCTTACATCTGCTTTAGATTTTGAGTGTGTATTATTATTGGGTTTATTTTTTAAATTACAATGTTTCAAAAATTTGCACATTTTGTTTATTGATGAGTTCTAATTATATTTTAATTGTATTTTCATTGTTTTATATATTATGTTATGGATGTATTCTGCATCTTCACAGTATTATGGCATACTTTGTAATATTGAGTTTTGCTTTTTGGTTTATTTCCTTTCATTGTAGGCCATCATAATATTCACAAAGGATCTAGGCACCATGGGGACAAATATGAAAAGTACAATAAATATAATGGTGAGTTTGAGATTATCAGAATGTATTTATACTAATGATATAGAAAAAAGGCTTACCCAGTCATGTATATTAATTTTTTTGCTTTGTTGAGTGTAAGTTTCATGACAAAAGCATAATCACTAAAAATAAAATGCGGAATGTAACTTATTGAAAAGGGAATGTGAAAATAATTTACACCCTGCAAAAAGGCAATTGTTTTTGTTTCTGAAATGGCTTATGTTGCAGACAAAAAAGTGTGTGTGTGTGTGTCATTTCTATGAATAGATATTTCAAAATTCTTAAAATTATTCATTTTTTAATGTTTTTTGTAATTTGAGTATTCCTTGTAAAATGTAACTTTGCATTTCCTCATCCATGATTAGGAAGAAGGATATGGTGTATTAGTTTACGATATTGGTAGGCTTCATCAATTATCTTTTCATCTGTTTATTGTAATTGATATTATTATAATAGAGTATTTGAACAGGATAATTACTGTTAATATTGATGTACCAATTTTTCTTGATTGTGCCTTCGAATTTTGTGCAATTTGCAAAGGGTCTGTGTGAAATGCTTCCTTTTGGCTGTCATTTTGCACTTTTTTTGTGATTTTAGAGAGTGGCCTATATTCTTTAGCATAAGCTAATGCATGTTGACTTGCACATTTTATTTTATACTTTTGGCTATGGCATGTTCGAAATTCAATACCACCTAGATTATTGTTTTTGTTTCTGTCAAAAGAGGACCCAGTATTTTTTAATATACAAGTGTAAGTCATACTTGCGATAGTCTGGCCTAAAGCAGTTAGGGTGCTTGCTGTATGCATTCATTATCAGATTTTGAGACATGTTAACTGCAAGCCAGGCAAGAGGTGAAAGAAAGAAATTGTTCTTGCTTAAAAATATGCAGAGAATACAATTGTAAAAGAGACTTTTAACTGCATAGAAAATATTATTTTTCAGTTTTGTACTAAGGTTAATTCCCCATTGTCGTCTTAAATTTCCTTTCTAGAGAGAAAGATTTACAGTTTGTTTTTCTCAAATACAGGGCCCTTGCATAAAAAGACTGTCTGACCACCCACCAGATCCGCTTCCGCTCCGCCAAGCCCCATCCTCCCAAGTTGCTGTCCCTCCAACTCTGTCCGCTTACCTTAAAGTCTGCCTGTCAGTTCACCCTTCTGTCTGTGTTCTTCCGGCCATCTGCCCTCCCCTTCGGCTGATAGTTAGCATGTTCTTCCATCTGTCTGTCTGTTTATCATGTTGCCTGACTGCTTGTCCTTCAGCTGTCTGTGTACCCATCAGTTCTTCTAACTATAAAGGTCTGCCTGTCCAAGCTCAGTTACTCTCCTTCCTTCTGCATGTTTTTCCTTCCTTACATGTATCACTCCATACCTTCTCCTTTCCATCTGTATTGTGCCCTTCTGTCTGTCTGTTTGCTTGGGAAAATTATTTATAAACGAAATTTGTAGAGAATTTTATGACCTTCAAAATTATTTGGTATAAAAACTTCAAAATTATTCAAGTATTTGGAGGCGGAAAACTGGGTTTTCTAGCTAATAACAATATAAACAAAATTAAAAAATAAAATTTTCTACCTTACCTTTTGCAAGGTGGACCCTCTTATGGCTCCCCATCAACTGCTCTGTTACTCAACGAGAAGGCTTCATGTGGGAAATGGCTTCAAGTGGGAATTGCAGGGTAGTTGAAGATCTATAGCCAACAGACCCAGAATGCATGCCACAGTGGCAATGTGATTTACCTTTTGGTTTTCAGCGGTAGTGGACTGTAATCACAAACACACAAGACGTCTTGAATAGAATTCAAAAGCAATATAATAAATTTACTGATCTTAGAACTATGGATAATTAAATTGCAGTAATTGCAAATTCTGTTGCTGTCCCTAACATAAAAGTCAAACCACAATGGCAGTGTGAAATTGCATATTTGCAACTGTAGTGCCTAAAAACAATATGTGAAAACAAGTGTGATACATCAAGAAATTTGTTTTAGGAATCCATTCTTTTATTTAAATTTGGAATTAAAATTAGTCAAAAAGTGTTATGACTTATGAATCATAAATGCATTAAAAATATACTGTATGAACCAAGGGTTTTATTGTAAAGAACCAAGAAAAAAGAAATATTTTAAAAAAATGCATTAAGGCAGTAAATAAGTGTGAAGTCATTTAATACGAATATTAATTTATTCCTACAAATCAGCATACACTTCGTAGCAATTAAGCGAAAATAAAAGTACAAATATAGACATTAAAAGAAACAATACATACTGATATTTTGAAAACAAATATATGAATGTGCGAAGAGCAGAACGGTATAAGTGACATTTTATAAATTTTGAGAAAAACATATTTATTTTAGGCTATATTTGAGTGGCGATGTATTTTTGTGGTTTTAATGAGCTATTTAAATGCTATGGTTTTAATGATGAAACAAAGCACCACAATGTTACAGTATATTGATGTAATTAAAAAGATTTCTCAGAATTTATGAAATGTCACTTATACCAGTCTGGTCTTCACTCATTCATATAATGCAAATAAACAAACAAAACAAAACAAAAGAAATAAAAATAAACGGACAAGTATAAAAAATACATAAAATTGTCCATGTCTACTCCATACCCATCCCTGTACTTAACTTCACTGCTCTGCATGTTCCTTTGGTGCCCAGTAATTTACACATTAATGGTAAGTATAGGCCCTGCACTTTGCCCATACTTTTCTTTGCCTTTTGTTAACCCGAAAATCATCACAGCACTTCACTGCTCTGTACACTTTTGCTCAAGAACTTTTGAATGCATAACATGCATGCTCCTGGAAGGTTTATTACCACCTCTGCAGGTAAATTGTTCCAGTTAACAATTCACAAAGCTGAATTTTCCCATATCCATTCTTTGATTTCTGCATTTTTTTGTGTGTGTGAGTGGTCACCCCTTCTTCGGTAACATGACATATCAAGTCTTCCTTCGATAGCTTTCCATGCTGGTTTCTTTGTGTACGCCTTGAAGAGGGTACACAGTCGAACTGGCTTCTACATATAATTAATGATTCCCAATTGACTTCCGTGCCATTGTTTCTGTTCGCAAATTTAGTCGCTTTTTTCCTGCACTCGTTTTAATGTTTTAATCTGACCGTCTCTATGAGGATCTCAGCATGCTGCTTCATATTCCATTCAAGGACAAATCAAAGAAGCCTTCTATATGATAAATCTTACTTAATCACCCCAGCTGAGGTTGTTTTCAATTATTACACCTAGATATTTACAGCTATGTAGTTCAGGAATGAAGTCTGTTAAAAGGAACTAAATTGAATGTTTTAAAAAAGTCTAACGATTGCATGAAGTCTCTCCTTGGTCAAGTGAATTGGTCAAGCAAAGAGTAACTAGCTGACTTTCACAAGAATAGGTGTTAGGATCCAACTAAATTGTTATTTTTATTTCATTCATTTTAATGTTCTAATAGTTAACATACTACTGCTGTTAAGCTAATCGGTCTATAGACATTAATGTATGATCTCCAATTCTAAATAGGAATCACTGTAGTGTTTTTCCTGTCATGAAGGATATTACCATTATTAATAGTAACTTCAAGAATTCTCGCAAACCATGTAACAAAGTTCTTTCATAATCAGTCGTCCCCCCCCGGCATCGTAGAATTTTTGTAGGAATTCCATCAGGTCCCGTGGATTTCTTTGTTACTGCAATTTTCTTCCATAGGAGAATAATATTTGTTGTAAAATGTTAACTTGTGTCTTTATTTTGTGAGCATATGTTAAACAGTCATTCTTCGGAAGTCTTATACTGACACATAGTACAAATTAAGTTTTGATTTTCCCACTTTTTGTTCCAGTCGTCTAATATGTTTGTTTAAATATTTAGGATCTAGATTATTTTTTAATATTTTGTGCAGAAGAAAATATTTGATACTATCTAGTCTGCTTTTCCATTTTTTTTAAATGTTCATTTTGTTGCCATGTTTATTCTTTAGAAGTGACACATATATACACTTCAGCCAGATACATAAAATTTGTGAAATATTTTGAGTGAAAATGCTTTTTATCTTGAAATATCTGAATAGTGGAAAATGACCTGTAACAAATTTGAAATTGTTTCAATGGATGTTTTATGTTCTTCAGAATTGTGTCAAGTTAATGATATTTGAAATGCAGACAAGCCTTTTTTCTGCAATATTATTTATACAAATTGTTAATGTTCCTTATTTTTCTGAATTTTGAAGTAGATTTACTTCTCTCTCTTTACTCTTTTTTTTTTTTTTTCTTCTTCTTTAAAAAGAGAAAATGATAGTGATGATCAAATTTCTGCATGAATAAACTATTCTTTTATTTTGTGTGAACATAAAGTGTTTTTGAGAGTTAATCTACTTTTGAATTGAAGGCGGTTGCTCGAATTCCTTCATTTATTACACAAAATTTATGTGATGGAATAAGGTTTTCTTGGCAATTTAGATTCTGATTATTCTTTATGGAATTGAAACATTTCTACTATGAGATATTCTTTGACTTCAATGTGGATCAACAAGTAGTTGCTTATTTTGTTTTTTAATGGCTTCTTTTAAATTTCATTTAGTATCAAATTACTCAGACAACTCAAATAGTATTTTATATTTCTGGTTTGGTTAAGGATTTATGTTGCTGACATGAAACTGGGAACAACTTTCATGTTGTATTTCTTTTTACTCACTAACAAGTGAGTAATATTATTATATTCTTTATCGTAGATTTCCTATTGTTTGCTGGAAAATGCCTCTTATGTTTTATATTTTTCTTCCCAACAGAGATCCTGTATTTGAAAAAACATACTTATGTATGTGCTTAGCATTTACCTGCAATTTTTATGGTTAATATATTTTTGTTTAATTAAAAACATTGTCCCTATTATGAAGACCGGTTCTTCTTGCTTCTTGAATATATAAATTCTTACATCAAGTATACTCAAATTCACCTTCCACAAGTTGCTGTTCCAATTTGAACATTTCTCCCACTGTTTCATAAGTAGGGCACTGTTCTCTACTTTCCATTGTGTACATGCCAGTAGATTATACATTTTAGAAGAGTATAAGATTCAGTATGTAAGTCACCTGAGGTTTTGAATTCACATCCACATTTTTATTGTTGTCAATAACTTCAGTGTTAACTGTAAAATTGCTATATCACATTACTACAATATTATTTATTTTCAATACTTTTAGGCGTACGTATCAATGGCCATTCAAAACATCGTTCTGGTCATGGATATGAATCTTCATCGATGTTGAGTTCTGATTTGGAAACAACAAGTTTCCTCGAGTCTGAAGATGATGCTTCAAGTAGAATTACCACTACCACCGGAAGAGCAACAAATTTGTCTGTGGACAGACAAACATTGGGAACAGGTAACAATATTACTGTTCATGAAAAACAGCACCAAAGTGTAAAGAGAGGATTGAGAGTATTTGACCTGTGATTAATGTATACAAACTATGAATATTTATGTATTCAGTTATATATATTGAATTCAGTATAAGGTAAATTATAGAAATTAACATGTTGAAGATATAAATGTCAATGTTGAACTCAAATGTCTGTACTTTGTAAATTTTAGATTAGTTTCTATTTTATTAAAAATGTTTTTAAAAAAATACAAAATTTTGTGAAATTTTCTGTAGAGGTGTTGAAGTAGTACATCAGAATTCAAAAGTTGGGAGGAATTGACTTCTGAAAAAGGGAGAAAATAATAATTTGCATTTATCAAATTTTCTTTTCTATTTGTACAGAACACAGCAGTGTGTCACGTCTTCAGTTGGGTCGTCGCCGACCACAACGTCGTCGCAGACATCGTGCTCCCCCTGCCATGTCACGCACATCTTCCTTCTCATCCATCACAGATTCCACCATGTCTTTGAACATTATTACTGTGACATTGAATATGGACACAGTTAACTTCTTAGGAATCAGTATTGTAGGTCAGAGCAACAAAGGAGGGGATGGAGGCATTTATGTGGGGTCCATCATGAAAGGGTAAGTTGTGAAAATGTGATGAAATTGTTTACATAAATTTGAAGTGTCATTCTTTAAATGAAGAATATGTTTTCCTGTCAATGAAGTCTTACGGATATTTTAAAATGGAATGTCGTAAGTGACAAAAATGAAGTACCGAAATAATTACACTTATCTCCTACTATTACATTTTTGTTGTTGTTGTTGCAAAAATTCTAGAAATGAATGAATGCATTGTTATTTTATGAATGAGTAAATGGACACCTGACAGCAAAATGTGTTCTCTGTCCTATTTGTAGGGGAGCAGTGGCTATTGATGGTCGCATAGAGCCTGGGGACATGATCCTTCAAGTAAATGACATAAATTTTGAGAACATGTCGAATGATGAAGCAGTGCGAGTGTTAAGAGAAGTGGTGCAGAAACCTGGGTGAGTACTTGCATGTACTATGAAGGTTTTGGACAAGTTGCTTTTATGTATGTTTATATTATGTATGTCGGTTTTAAAGAAAAATTATTGCAACTCTAAAAAAGTTAATTTTGAGGAGAATCGATTTAAAGCGTTTCAAACATTGAGTCCTACATAAATGTGATCATGGATATATATACATACACACACACACACACACACACACACACACATATAATAGTGGATGGATGAAGTATTCTGTTTACAGATAAGTGATTTGTCATAGGTAGGATGAGCAAATGTCAGAATTATAAATTAAAGTGCTTTGTGTTTCTTTTCCCCTAGCAATGTCTATCCATTGTAATTAACATAGTGTAATCCAGGAACATTTTTAATTTTGGAAAGTGTGAAGAAGAAACAGAAAGAGTCTTCATGCTTTACTACAGAATTCTAGTCCTGGTTAAGCACAAAAATATCAAAATGTAAATTTTTAACTTATTCATTCATGTCATACAAAGATATGTTATAATGTATATAGAAGATGAAAGAGATGGCATTCTTGAAACAAAAATTATTTATTCTTGTGTAATAAACATATTTTTTATTGGGTGAAATGAGCTATGCCTCATCCAAAATTAGTTTTTTAGTACAAGTTCTCAGCAGCAACTTGCTAAATATTGCGATGTCCTTACAGTTCATACACTGTGCAAGAATATAATACATTGATAACAATTAACTCGGAATCATAAAAAACTGTATTTCATTAGTAAGTATGTGGCAATACAAGTACACTTCAAGCACACACACCTTTTCCATTCCACAAAAGTAAATTGTGAAGTGGGAAGTCAAATAAGTATCACAGAATAAAAAATGCATACTTTTTTTTAAAATGTAATGTGCTCTATGTGCTAGTTACGTGGAAAAGGAAGTAAGTCACACGAACCTCTTTGTAGTTTCTAACTCTCTCCAATAGATTGAGACTGACACAATTCCAACAGTTTTTCTGTGAGGAGCAATACAAGTGCCAGCACGCTCTGCAGAACTGTTTACCTGGCAATTGACCCTTAATTTGCAGGAAGGTTAACAAAATGCAATCAACAAATGGTATAATAGAAAAACAGTGCATTGTTAACTGAGAACATCACATTCACAGCTTCTGCCCTCAGCTACAGTATTACATGATTTTGTCTGCAATCTGAAGCCAATAATTTAAATCATATTGTGAAGTTATAGATAAGCAAGGTTTTATGGATACCAGTTTCATCCACTTCTCCCGGAACTTTCAAATTATGGTATTCATGGAAGTGGTGGAGGAAATTTCTATCAGTGAAGCAATGCACGTATACAGTGCTAACAAAAAAAGGGGTGAAGAAAGTAAAAGATCTTTTGACTTTGAAGATCACCCAGTCCCTGTCCAATGACAGAAAAGCAATAAAAATAACAGCAGAGTAGAAGAAATATCTTCTGGCAGTACTAGAATATATGTATCGAAAGTATCATGACTTTTATAAAGGACTTTGTAAGCAAGAAATGCTAGGAAACTTAAACAAAAATTGTTATGAATAAATAAAATTAAATCTTTTTGCTAATATACTTTGTTTACTTTCTGTCTTGAGTTGTGTACTACAGTATTTTCTTCCTTTGTAAATTATGCATAATCATAAATTATATTGTTTATTGTCGATATCACGCTCCCTGCTCCTTACACTTGTGTCAATTTCTGAAGACATTTTGCCTGGCACTTACATCGTTTCCAAAAACTGTAAATTTGTTGTATTTTTATATCTGTGAGAAAGACTGTACTACACTGCTCACTATCATTATCTTTTGTTTAAACTAAATAATTACGGACACCTTCAAATTGTAATAAAAATATTAGTTTCATCGTAATATACTATTGTTTTCTTGACTTCGTTAAAAAGTTTTCTTTTTGCACTTAGTGTTTCCCAGTTACACTTCACAATTATATTTTCGCATGTAATTAATTGTTAGTAAATTGAGTGTATTTGTTACTTGAACAATTCTGTTTATTTTAAAAGTGAACCCACAGGAGAGATTTTGTTAGTATTGTAAGTTCTAATCTGGGAATGAAGGGAATAGTTTTTTTAATGAGGAAGCTCGTAACCTGTGCCCGTCAAGTACCACCATGATTATTTTCTTTGTGTCCACCAATCAAGACAAAAGAGGTGTCGTTCGACGTTCCTCAGTCTTTTGTTGAGAAATTTATGATTTGTGTTCGCATCCATCCAGAAAATTCTAAGAAATTTCCAAAAGTGTGTGTTTGCGTTTTAGAGCTGCCATCTAATGGTGGCCACACAAACCACGTGCACCCAGTTGATAAATCGTTATATATTGTATTGCCTGCACAATGCTGTTTACAATGTGCAGAGCTGGGCTTGCATCACTGAAAGGAAAGGTTCATTGTCAATGTTGTCACCCCATAGTTTAACTATCATTTTATAGGATATTTTTGTTATATTTACCATTTACGATAGTGCTAATGGGATAATTTCAACTGTGAAATTGTATTTAAATTAAATTTATGAGAATGGAATGGTGTGCTCTACAAAAGGAGCTTGCAAATGTTCAAAGTTTCTTTAATAAGCTGCCTGATAGTACATTGAAAGAATATACTTCAGAACAACTCTTCTGGAAACATTCAGACAAGATTCTCCAACACCGTATTCTTAGGAGGGTAGTGGTTATAGCCCGAAAAAACATCTCACAACAAGACTTGCAACCAAGTTTGTTTGATTGTTTTTGTTTTTATAATTTATTATTATAGAACATTCTATGGATCTATTGGAAGAAATGTATTATTTACTTTGCCTGAAGAAGTGTTAGAACTGTTTTTAACGAGAAATTATTGTGAGCTCGTGTTTTAGGGACGACTTAATTTACATAATGTAGAACAAGAAAACAGAATATTATATAATCATTACTAAACAAGTCATAATTATGTTCCTGACTTGTTATTAATAGCAGTGTTGTTTACATTAAGGCAGCGTACAAACTGTTTACAAATAATTTTTTTATTGTTTGCAAAAAAAAACATACAGGATAAGTCACATTACTTTAGCGCCTCCTATAATTTTTGAATAGTTGAAGTTATTGCAATGCAGTTTTCACAGAAGTGCATGAGGGAATGGAGCTAGTTTATACACATGTTCATTTTCATTTTATCACCTAAATTTTTTTAGGGATAGCTTTTTATTTTTATTTTATTAGTAATTTTGATGTTTTGAGACTTGTTTAACGAATATTGTAATGCTCCGAGCGCAGATAGCAGGAGAGCGCTGTGTGACCTTGGGTGGTGGACTATTACATTCAAAAGATCCGTGAAATAAGAGTCGCGAAAAGATCGAAATTGCTAAAAAAAAATGTTGCAGATTTGTTGCACGACTTGCCTAGTATAGTACCAGTATATCACCTTTTTTACAAACACATTTCATGTAACTCGGGCTGGCTCTTGTATCTCTTATACTTAGTGGTTTCGAAGAAATTTTATTTTGATTTTCTGATTTTCTCTATTTAGCCAGCATTTGTTGATTTTCCCTTGAAAGCAGTAGTAATAGTTGGCCTTCTTTGCAACTGCTCGAGTAACAACCTTTGCTCCAAGTTCTTTATGTAGGTACTCTCATTGATTGAAGTATGGTTTGCCATTTCTTTAATAAATCACTCTCCTCTTGATTGCAACAATATTTTTAAGATGAGACTAAATGACTATCAGCCATATATTTATCATGTTTGTATACCGTGAAACGGTAAGTGTTTTTCACTATGTTATGGTATTGTTGTAAATCCTCTTTGGCTACATCTTGATCCATATTCTAAATTCCCAGCTTATCCTTCAACATTATATTCTCATTCACTGTCTGAATGTTCTTCAAAATATCGTTTTCTTAAAAAACTAATTGTATCTTTCCTTCATTTGCAATTTATAGATCAAAACCGTTACTGATATTAAGAATATTATAAGAAGGGGAATATCTTATATTATTATAACAACTACAGACACAGAAAGCACATTTGTAAGCTAAGGTGCAAAAAAGAGCAATGGCCTGAGTCTTTCTGGGAATTGTACATGTGAGCGTCATCAGATGCGCATGTTTTGGCAATCCCACATGTCACACTCCAAAGGAAAGAGGGACCATGTGACCTAACGGCCTCCAGCTTATATGGTAGCAACCTTGCCACCGGATGCAAATTCATAAAACATAGGATGTCACTAGATCTTGTAAACTTCACCTTCCTCAGCGAGATATTGAGTTCTTAAAACTCGATGGGTCAACTAGACCCATGTTCATCTGATGATGGGTAAATTCATAAATGACTATTTTTTACAATCTTCGTGTGAGGGTGGAAAAAACAGATAACCAGAGTTTGTCAAAATACTTTAAATTTAGTATTTAAATACTTTGCCAAAATACCTTGTAAATAAGTATTTAAATACATACACAATATGCATTAGGTTTTATTTTACTAAATACATAAGTCTTTAAAATAGTTGAAACACTCAAAATACAGTAAACACACTTATATTATCTTTTTTATTGCAACAATATACTATTGCAATCTTGAATTACAATAAATTGGTAATTGATGTTCATACAAATTTCTGAATAATAAGTATAATGTATGTGCATTCTTAATGTAATTAAACCAAAATTAAATACTATAAACAAAAAAAATTCAGGCATATCTGCGTTAATAGTTCTACAAACTTTGAAATTAGAACAAAAATAAGACCCATGAATTGTATTTTCATAAAGGGTTTTTTTTTTTTTTTTTTTTTTTTTTTAACACCTATTTTATGTATTTAAATTCTGCCCAACCCTGCTTTTTGTTTAAAGTTTCTTTTTATTTAGAACTTGCTTAGTAGAAATTTTGAACACATGAAAATAATTATTTTTAAAACGTTTTAAACATTGGTGTTGCCACATTCAGCTAGTAACAAGGCTCTTTGTAGATACAGTTAAAGCAGGCCTATTTAGGTTAAGGAGCCTATTTTTAGGTAAAATTAATGCTAGTAGGCCTATTTTGTGACGCTAACCTATGGTGCAATTGTAGGCTCAATGTGTCGCTGCATGCTCTCTACACTGGCATTTTGTTGCAGTTCAATGTTGTGATGCCATTCATTGTTAAGGATTTCAATTAATTAGCTGTTACCCTTCGTTGAGATCACAGGCCAAACCATGACACAAAGCGGGTGTTAAACCTTCTCCACTAAGCAATCTGGGTGGAACTGTTCCCCAGGGCGTCATTCAACAAATTAACTCTTGTGGACCAAAATCTGAAACGTTGATTCGCCAGATAAGCATACCTGTAAAAAAATAATACAAAAATCATTATTGATGAAATGCACTAGCGCTTTAAAAATATAAATAGGTTGTATTACTCGACTCCAATCTGCAACAATCATATTTCAGTGTTGTCGGCCCCATGCAGTTGCTTTTTCTTCAAGGCCTGGGTGAGGCGGCTGTTTTTTGGTTGGTCCTCCAATGAGATTCTCTTTGGCTAACGGACTGCCCTTTGGAAACTGTTACTTCTTTGTAGTTTGTCCTTGTAGTCAGATATACAACTTTATGATTTTTGAGGCAGATATCCCTGATTGGTATGAAGATTAGTGATTCTTTTCCCTCCACATTTACCACATCTCTTATTTCTTAAATAACGCAAGCATCCAGTGTTGCCACACATAACAATGGTAATGATAACAGTAATACTACGAATCTTATCAAAACCAAATCCTTTGCTTAAAAAAACAAAACTATGGTGCTACAGAATGGTACAGACTTTCTCGTATTAGTTTTCTTTCTTTGGTCTGGGCTAGATTTTCTTTTCAGTCATCCGTCCTGATCCCAGCTGCCATTTATCGCTGTCCAAACTATATTTTTCACAATTTTCTCAATTTTGCGGTTTCCCAATGGTAGATGCAAAATATTACTTCAAGAATGTTAGTTAAGAGTGAAATCTCTGCAATTTTGGTAGAGAAATTTTGACTGGTTTTTACAGAAACCATGTTAAGCTTTGCTATGAATGGGAAATTTGAAGCTCTTTTTGACAGAAAACTTTAGTTTTCAAAGAACTTAATATGAAGTACTTGATCTCACAAATATAAAAATGTTTACAAATCACTGGTAATGTGTGAGATATATTTTAAACAATTACATTTGTTTTTTTAACAAAAGAAAACAGCTAAATTTGTTTTACGTCATGTTAAACAGTGAAATTATCACTATCTGTAAGAAAAGACTGAAAAAAAAAGTAGTGATTTTTTTGAGAAAATGATGTTCGAACATGCAGAGAATGTGGAATTTTGAGCTCGTTTGAGAAAACTTCAGTTCCCAAGAAACTTTGAGACATCATTTAAAGCACAAGTACCCGTAAATGCAATAATGTAAAGTAATCGCTGCTCATGTAAATATTAACATGTTAATGTAACATTAGTGAGAGACAAGTAAAGAAATATAGTTTTACTTTCTCTAGTAGAGAGAAAGTTACATAATGGTGTGCGAAAAACTGCGAACTTTCCCAGAAAAAACTTATTACAGGGCCCTGATAACACAAAAGTTGATAAGTTTAGTTGTCAAATTTTGAGAAAAAATCCTCTAATACGTGGTTAGTGGGTCCTTGATACCGAAAAATTGAACAACGACAAAAGGTCTCTGTCCGTTTGTGAACAACGATAGCCGCTAAACTGTTCAGCCAATTTTCTCTAAAACTGATAATCCTCAATCGATCAATATCGCGGCCCCTTTAATATGAAACCAATATTTTAATTTTGGGGACCCTGGGACTTTTTCCAAAGTTTCAAAAAAATGGCTCAATCGTTTTTTTATATTTATTGTTGTTGTTGTTATTATTATTATTATTATTATTATTATTATTATTTTGTTGGATATTGTGAAGGATGTTTTAGAGATTCAAATATTCTTTAGAGTATTCCTACAACTAAAATATTTAAGATAGAAATTTTTACCCTAGATTAAATATGTTCTTTAAAAATATAATTTGAAATAATGTCATGTACAATTTAAAAAAATTTGAGTACTTTTCGCGTAATTTTGCGTGAAAATATGGACGAGAAAGTATGTGTTGTTTTACCCCCACTAGTTGTAATTTTTGAAGGAAAAATCAAAAGAATAGAGCAAAGTGGCGTTTATGTCATATCATTGAGTACAATTAGCACTCTCCCTACCATAAGTTTAAAGAAAAAATTTGGAATAGTTTTTGAGAAAATATTGTTTTTGTTATTTTTAAAATTGCACATATTGTGCAAAAATTCTTAAAAGTTTTGAAATGTACATGACCTTAATGAAAGAAAAAATTATGGACAACAAATTTCATTTGAAAAATAAATCTCTATTACCAATTTTGAAGTTGTAGGAAGATGCCGAAAAAAACTCAAACATTTGCAATTTTAGAAAAATCATAGTTAGCAAAAATTGAACTGCTTCTCTTAAATTTGTGCTCTTAAATATTTTCTATTCTTGGACGCTTTTTGAAATTATTGCAATTGAATGTTTTATTTCCTGGAGAAGTAAAAATGATGAATAGGTATATGAATATAGGTATTACTTAATGTTCCTAGTCTCTGAAAGAAATTGGGTCTGGGAAATGAAAATCAGACTTGGCTAAATAGTTCATTATTTAATACACAATAAATGTCAAGTGTCAATCTCAGGTGATGAGTGTTGTCTATTGTATATTTGCATTTAAGGTTATTATGGTGAGATAAGAAATTGTATAAAGATCTCTCAGCACAAGTAAAAGTATTTTAATCCTTAGTTCCTTTAATTTTAATAAACACATTTGTGTTTTTGTCCGAGGTAGAAGCTCTGGTATTCGTGCTTGTAGTCTTCGATAATAGATAAATGTACTTAAACACAATCTCTAAACAATTAATATCATAATAATGTGGTTCTTTTACAGACATGTTAACTGTTATTTATTCATGAATATCAATCTTTGTATATTCTTTTTCATCTTGTTTGTTACCCATTTCATTTAAAAAGGTAACTTCCCATGTTAATAGTTCTGCATTTTTGGTTTAATTCTTAGGCCTATCAAATTGGTGGTTGCCAAATGCTGGGATCCAAATCCAAAAGGTTATTTCACTATTCCACGCACTGAACCTGTGAGACCTATTGATCCTGGAGCATGGGTTGCACATACTGCAGCTATTCAAGGTACTCCAATAGGTACTACCAATTGCTATTCTTATTATATTATTATTGGAAATATATTTTTAATTAAGTACAGAATGAAATGTAAATTATTATGCTTTATTTCTTATCATTATTGCACATTTTCTGCATGTAACCACTGCTGTTAGTTGATATTATCTAAATTCATTAAGTAAGTCACTTATTGTTGCAAGAAGTTTGTGTAGTATTTCGTGTTATTTTGAGAAATGGAAACTAATCAAATAAATTTATTAAAAATGTCAACTTACATTGCTTTCTTACTCATCTCCCATTTCATGAAATTACTTCAGGCTAATCATCGAAACTATGTTTTGTTAATGAGTTTCTATATTTTTTAATTTTGTATTTCAGGTGAATCCTTTCCTGTTAGACCTCCATCTGTGACAACATTAACTTCCACAAGTTCTTCAATCACCTCCAGTGTTCCTGACACAGAAAGTAATTATTAAATGCATTTGAGTTTGAATTCTCTCTATACTTATATTTTGATTCAATAATTATGTTTTTCCTGCATTAGATTCTTATTTCTGATCATGTGAATAAATGTTCATAGGACCGTTTGAAGACTTACATTTATCAGTCAATACTGATATGCGAACCATTGTGCGAGCTATGGCTAGACCTGATTCTGGTTTGGAAATACGTGATAGAATGTGGCTGAAAATTACAATTCCCAGTGCATTCATAGGTAAGATAACTTGTTAAACCTTGTGTTTTTATCATCTAGTGTTGATTGAATTTGGCTTGGTCTGGATAATCATATCCTGTTAGTGAAATCCTAATCTTAGTCTGATCTTTAAACTTAGTGGGGGTTGTGTGTGGGTTTTTTATTTATTCATTATTATTATTGTTATTCTGAAAATGTGAGGCATATCACCAAGGTAGCCAAAGAAAGACATTCAGAAAACTACAAACCAGAGCAGACTATTTGGAAATTGGAAAAAGAAATCACACCCAAACTTGAAGGCATTTAGCTCTGGACAAAATATTTGGGGTTTCCCTGTTGATCATAAAAAAGACAAAATGGCAAAGAAATGACAAGCAATTTAGACCAAATTGAAAACTATGCTGAATTGAAAGATCAACAAAGGAGAGGTGAAAATAGATCTGGCCAGAAAGAACGTTGTCCTTGAAAGCATCTGGGCCCAATGACTTGAAAAATGTAATGATAAAGAAATTAACAATAACCTACAAACAATTTATTTAGAGTTACACTGATCATCAATACACATTGGAAAACCCGGAATTAATCCCTATGTTGTTGGGAACCGCCCACCTATTTCCCAAAGAGAACACCAACAGAGATTCAGTAAAACACTACCCCATAACTTGTCTCCCAGTACTGTACAAACTATTAACATCAATAATCAACAGAAATGTGTACCAACACCTTGATGATGACAAAATGAACAAAACAAAAGGAGGGCTGTAAGGGATCACAATAATGCAAGGAATAACTTATAGTAGATTCCATCATTCGCAAAATTGGGAAGCAGAGGTTGGTGTCATTACACACTGCTAGACTATGAGAAAAGTATTGAGAGTATCGCACTTGCCTGGCCTTGTGAAGTGTTGGAAATCTGTGTAAAACAATTCCCTAAGTATGCAATGGAGCACTGGTCTTCTAAAGTGCAACTAAGTGCTGAAAAAAAAATGTTTAATTTGAGGATATTAAAATCAAGAGGTAAATCTTTCAAGAGGCTGCCTTCAGTCCTTAGTGGTTTTGTCTTGCAGAGAAACTGCTAATAAGGGTGCTGAATTCAGAGTGGCCAGTAAACCTTGGAAAAACCTTGAAAACCAGGGAAAAAACTCGAGTTTGATCCTAAGTACTATTTATGAACTTTTAATTAATTGTTGTATTGCAAAATTGATGTTATGAACAACATTTTGAAAATGCCCAGAATGTTCCAAGCAAATTTGAAGATTTGTTAATACCAAAAATTCAAAAGTTTAGTGAAAACGGGTATCTTTCAGTGTGACCGTGCATACTTATTCCTATTTCTGAGTAATAAATCAAAAGAAAATTAGCATTTTTTGAGGATTATTGAAAATGGAATATGGACGTAAGAAAATTTTCAGTTTCCTCAAAATTAGTAATGTCTCATGTTTAGTCAGATCGATAGCAAAATACCCACTTTGAAAAAATATACCTACTTCCATGTTAAAAAGTAATATTGTTCATGGGAGGACACAATTTTTGAAAAAAGATATACAGATTAAGGTATCTTAAAACCTGCATCAGTCCTGTCATCAACTTTCTGGCCTCTACCCCCCCCCCCCACACACACACACACACACACACACACACACACACAATTTTCTTAAACACTTCAAGTGGAGTATCTTTAATTAACAGTAACCTAGGAAAAGTAACTAAAAGTTGGTGTTTTGTTCAAAATTCTACACTCCAGTACTCAATTGTGTGAGAAAATACTTGGATAATGTAGTAGGGTTGCTAACGAGCAAAAATAAGTGTTGAAATGTGTGAAACAGACCTTGGAAAGCAGGGAACAAAAGTTGAATTCAAAAAAGCCAGATCACTGGTCACCCTGTAAATTGACAGGAGATTTAAACTGGAACAGGCAGGAGCACGAGAAAGTCTTTAGTTTTATAGAGATTACTTTAATTGTATGTGGAAAAGAAGAAAATCGTCGTAGATCATGATGGAAAATTCAGCAAGAACACCTATTCACAAGAACACAATTCAACCTTAACAAGTGTAGAATTAGCAGAGTAAAGTAGAATGGGTTGAACATTGTGGATGCAAAGTAAATAAAGAACAAGTTATAACGATTAAAGTAACGGCTGAAGAAGAGACATAAATATTTAATCGTGATGAATACCAACTACTTCCAGAATATTGATGCCATTTTGCAGAGTTGAGTGCACCCAAAATAGTGCAAGTACAGTGCCATACTCTTAAACACTGTCTTACATAATTCGTGATCCAGAGTCATGCTTGAGACAATTTCATACAAGTGCCACAACAATTGACACAAAATTCACTAGATGGCAGTTTAGCATGACAAGTTTGCGCTTGTCATGAACCTAAAGGGTTTGTCAGAGAAGCGAGTCTTGAATTAAAGTACAGAATGTGAAGTTAAAGACACTGACATACCATAACAAGGAGTGCACATTATGAAAAAGCGTACAAGATTAGTGAAGTTTACCTTATGCTGGCAGAAATCTTATATTACTATTTTCCAGTCAAAAGAAGACCAGACACCTCTAATATGTCCAGTGTGTGCAATTAGTTTTGTTAGATGCTGTAAGAGGTTACTTATCAACCTTTCTTAAGCTGGCACTATCGTAATCAGTTATCACAAAAACAAATGTACCACAATTCAGAAATATTTAATTGGTAATTAATTATCCAAATATTTGTGTAATTAATGATGTGGCTTAAAATTAAGATGTCCCTGCCACAATCAGTTACTACAAAAACAAATATGCCACTGTATAGAATAATTTAATTGCTAAATAAGTACACAAAAATAATTTAAATGTTCTTCAAACTTCTGAGTAATTAACGGTGAGGTAGCCCTTAAATCTTAAGCTGGCACCACCACAATTGCTATACAAATATGCCACAATGTAGAATGATTTAACTGTTCTTCAAACTTTGTGTAATTATGGTGAGTGGCGAGGCAAGGAGCTGGCTGTGAATGGAATCGAATGAAATGAAATGACTTTGTATTTAATAAATGCAGGGGGGGGGGGGGAATTCTATTAGAAACATTTATTCCTTTGCTATTTGACTCCTGTTCTCAAAGGTTGGTTGATATTTTATAAATTCCTTATTACATAAGTGTTATGACAGACTTATCTGTACTATGTCATAACTACTGTACTTATCTAGACTAATCTGTTATATACAGACTTATATGTATTTATGTATATTACTGCTTAAAACATTCAATTTGATACAATTTAACATGTCTTTTTTGAAGTAGTCTTCTAAACATCCCTTATTTCTTAAATATATGTAATTATTATGATGACTAAATATTTATGGTTTAAGTTTCAAAATGTGACAACTGCCCCATAATCACCCACATTACGTCATTCACACGTATTTCATATAAATAGTGAAAGTGATTACTGTGGGATGTGAAAAACAATCCGCATCGCTGTACAAGGCACCAAGTGAACATTTCATAAAGCCACAGGGATACTAGTGGGCACTAGCTTCATTACTCATTATTCTTGCACTCTTTGGTTCAGTGAGACTGCCACAGTTCCTATCAAGTTCCAATGGAAGGCATTACCTACCAAAAGAAATTATACAATCTGATTTCTGAATCAAACACAGATTCCTTGGGCTCCTCTAGGATGACATCTTTCTCACTTAGCAGTCATCTAAGTTGGTGTATAGTCAGCACATCTAATATGGATGTATAGGTGTGATAAACGTCAACCGTATATCTCAAATAATTAAACATGGGAAGTATAGGAATATAGCTGGGACTTACAAACATCAACACACAAAAGTGAAAAACCTATGAGTGTGAAATGTGTAAATGAAGTTTTACTGAAATTGGTTAGTATAAATGGTAACATCAATTATGAAGTGATACCAATAAGAAATTGTCAGAAATGTGGCCCTTTGTGGCTTTCAGCCAATTTATTCACTAAAAACATATTTTGTCAAATAAGCAAGTATTATTTTGCCTATCTTTTGCTGATGAATCCTGTCCCTGTTAATATGTATCTTTGTTAGTATTATTCGTTTCTCTATTAGTCTTATTTCATCTTGTTACATGAATAAGTAAGACTCAAAAATTTGTTTTTTATTCAGAGAATAAAGAAAGGCAAAAACCTTTTTAGTGTGATCTTCTTTTTGCGAGTATTTTACAGCTCTTGTGGGCATCTCTCACATTTCAATCTCCATACCCCTCTTATCATCCCAGTCATTCTCTTCTAAAAGTCTTTGCATATCTTTAAAAATATGATTCTGCCATTTTTTTCTGAGACTTCATCTTTTTCTTCTGTCTAGTGGAAACCACTCACAAACCTTACTGGGGCAATCTCTCATAATCAAGCCTTTTCACATTATCAAACCATTTCAGCCTTGGTATTTCCAATTCATCAGTAATTGCTTTTTGAACCTGCATTTGCTTAATTATGTTGTTGAATAAAAAAGTATATTCAGTGGAATCTTTTTAGAACATTTTTCAAGGGATTGAAAATTTTGAACCTGTTAACTTGTATAGGTTTATCCTGTTGCACAATTTGTATTTCCTATTTCCTTCTTTATTTCACTATAAAAGGGAAGAGAATGGAATTTATAGATAAATAAAACATACTACTTGGGATAAACAAATTTATCTGGAAATAACATATTGAAGAAAAACTAAATTACATACAGAGAAATGTGGAGTGTTGTTACTGCAGAGGCCAAAAATTAAAAATTGAGGTGGAGCCAAGATTTTTAATTTGGACGAGGCTTTTCTACATTTCATTTCTTTTCATACTTGTAATAATTCTTCTATTGTTAGTGTATCAATATTGTCTTTTGTTCTTCATGTTTTTCCTTTTCTTCCAGTGGGTTGAACCATATATTATTATAGTGTTGTAGCCATTTCTCTTCATCTGTAACTTTCAATTGAATGGTATCTTTTTCTTTTTGATAGAGTTGTCTCATTACTTTACAGGCTAGTACTTGCTTCCCATTAATATCATTTTCTATTCTATTTATGAAGTGATCCCACACCTCCTGATGTGCTCTATGAGATAGCTTTCTGGTTTCATTTCTATAGCAGTTATATTCTTTTTTAGTTTCTTCATTTCGTGTTTGAAGATATTCCAGAATGCTTTCTTTTTCTCTGCCACTGCTGCTTTAAGTTGTTCACTCCATACTCTGAATCCTTTCTTTTTCATAAACTTCTTTTACTTTCCGAGGCTTGCAAAAGCTGCGTTTTCTATGCAGGTTTTAATATTTTCCCATCCTTTCTGTACTTAATCACTTGTTGGTATATTTTCTAAGTCATTATCTAGTCTCTGTTGATGTAGCTTTTTAATACTCTCTTCTGGTAGCAGATATACTTGAAAACCTTCTTCTACATCGTTTTTATTTTTGGGGCTTAGATTTTTCCATCTACTTAGTAATTTAATAGTTGAGACAACCAAATAGTGATCTGAGTATATATCTTTGCCTCTATAAACTCTTGTATCTTGAATTAGGGTTGATAATTTCTCGTTAACTATAACATAATCTATGAGTGATCTCCATGAAGTTTATTTATGAATATCTAAATAATGTGTTAAGTTATTTTTAATTTATTATAGGTGGCAAAATTCCTTAGTTCTATACCATAATTATTCATTGTCTGCATGATCTCTGTTATTAATTTGGGAAATAACTTTCTGTAGATTTTCATAAAAGTTATGGTTTCTTCTTTTATCCCTTCTTCTAGGGCTTATACTCCGACCACATTTAGATGCCCTCTCTCTATTTTTAATCTTACTGTTATTATTCTTTCATTTACATAACAATAACTTACAATTTAGAGGTTCATTTCAATCAATATTGCTACTCAACTACTTGCTCTTTGACTTTTGTCTACTCCAGAATAGATCATTGTCTAATCGTCAAGATCTTTAGTTCCTTTAAGTTTTTTTCTTTGTTTCTGTTGAAACCACTATATTAATGCTACATTCCTTTAATTATCATTGAGTTCTTTTTCTTTGGTACCTAAACCTCTTACGTTCCATGTGGTAACTTTTAGTCTATCCTTTATTCTGAATCGCTTGTCCTTTTCTCGCTTATGTTGTCATATGGGATTTTTCTAGCTTATCTATGTGAAGATTTTTAGTAATTGAAATGCCCCCCCCCCCCCTACAGGCGCCATGCAGGGTAATCCCAGTAGTGGGGCTACCATTTCACTGCTTCTGAACCAGCAGGATTTGATATCAGGGTTTTCTACCTTAGGGAAGTCGGTTTCACCTGGAGAATCTCCCCTACCCTTTGAGGGGCCTTCTTCCGCCAGTTTCATCTTCTTCAATACTTCACAATATTCGTATACTGTAATTTTAATGCTCCTGAACCTAAAGATACTTCAAGAAATGACGTTTGATGCAGAAGTTGGTGTGACGACCTTCAGATCGTTAGTACTGGAGAAGAGTTTCATTTTGGTGGAATGCAAAGAAAATGAGGTTAATTTACCTAATACACATTTTTTAATTGTGCTACTAATATTACAATTACAATTATTATCCACAAGACTAATATGAGTTACTTTTATTGTGAATTGTTTGAATTTATTTGCACAGAACATCGCCAGTTTTTTTTTTTAATAAACATTTGATGAAACAATGGTTGTTTATTTATGTAAGGATGTTTAATTTCTTAACATACAGGTAGGTGCAAGTGCACTTAACAGACCTGTAGGGTTCCATGTTAACAGGGGTTAAAGATGCATTTGACTGACAAACAAAATAACTAGTATCCTGATTATCAAATTCGAAGTAACATGACGAAACATTCAGGATGAAGATGACTCAGATCCACAGAAAACATTTCTCTGTGTCTAATAAGACAAACTACACTTGTGAAACACATTTCCTACAATCTTTTAATGTGCTAAGTAGGAGTATTAAATTTGGGAATGAGTAGTTAAAGGGCATTGGAACTGGAGTTTAAAAATGTGAATGTGCTAAATGAGAAAGTACGGTAACAGGAAACATGCTAATAAGATTCCGCTGTATTTCTGTAATTGATTTAAGAAAGCAACCCTTTTTAAATGAAATTGTATGTTTTCAGGCTGTGATGTAGTTGATTGGTTGCATAACCATGTTGATGGTTTTGTGGATCGTCGGGAAGCTCGTAAATATGCTTCGCAGATGCTTAAAGCTGGCTACATTCGTCATACTGTGAATAAAATAACGTTTTCGGAACAATGCTACTATGTGTTTGGAGATATTTGTACTGGTAAGTTTTCTTTTGTACATATTTCATTGCATTTTCAATTGGAAAATTATCCTCACAGTAATTTTTCTTAGAAATAAACTGGTTTGTTTGTACAGAAATTGACACTATACAGAATACATATTTTTTGTGTGTGTAATACAATCAAAACCAAGTTAATAAAATCGTTCCTCTTGAGTACAGAAACACTCCTGTGGGGAGGGTAACTGTACAAGTGCTATGAGTGAGCCTTTGGCCATGAAAGGCTCCCTTTTGTTAAACTGTACCTTTACTTCTTTCAGCAATGTCAAACTTGAAACTTCATGAAGACTGTGTGTCAGTGGACCATGACACTGTGGGTCCACTGCCTCCCCCAAGCACCATGCCACCCACGTGGGGCAGTTCCCACATGCCTTACTCTGGCACATACCTCCCACACACAAGTGCGGGGTATGCGCCAATGCCTTTTAACTACACAAATGAACCGTCAGTGTACGGATACACAAGGGAAGAAAGTGTCCACAGTGGCTCTGGTGAGTAATGTTCTGTGTTGGAAAAAACAATGCATTGTGGGATTTTCTTAGAGCCTTTGTTTAACTAACTTGTGTAGATTCTTTTCTGTGTGTGTGTTTTTCTTTTTTTTTTTTTTTTTTCAATCTGCAAATTATGTGTTTTAATTTTTGAGGAAAATTAAAGTATATTTCATTTTTGATTTAATACCTTGTGTATAGTTGATTGAAGATACTGTTGTGATAAAGTTTCTTATTCTTTCTTGGGTCTTTAAACATGGGAACAATGTGTGTGGAGCAACAGTAGTATGAACTCCGCAATTAATTTCAATTTAGTTTGAAGTTCGTATCTTAATTTATTTTAAATTTTCTGAACTTGCACAAAAGTTATACCAGATCAAAAAATATTACATTAATTTAAATAATGGAGAAAATATCAGAATCAGAAAATGTTAATTCCTGTGGCATCACGTTAATCATACTTCATATTTTGAAATGGAATTAATTCTATTGTTTTGGTCTGATGCACCTCATATGAAAGACTACCCACTTACCATTTCGTCTCCAGATATTGTAGGTTGCATTGTAGTGTTAATAAAATCTAATTCTGGGAGTGAAGGTCATGTAAATTTAACTTCTAATAACTAACTAAATGGAATTTACACTTTAATAATAATGAATTTATTTCAATCTTTTTAACACTAAACATAAACATTTTAGTGTCTGATGCCTGTTGTGTGTTTTTCATCAGAATAAAACATTCTGTGGTCTAATGCTTTAGGTGGCAGTAGCAATGATTCTGAGCATGTGTGCAAAGAAGCTAGTGCTGACTTGGCCAAATCGGGCAGTTCTGCAAGTGAAAGTGATCTGGCCACCCAAGGTATAGCAGCTAGTAAACCATCAGGCAGTGGCCGTAGATCAGGAGGATCTAGGTCCCGCTCAAGTGGCTCAGAACAATCTGTGGCAACCACATCAACTGCCGGCCAGCAGTCACAGCACCCACTCCAGCAGACGCAAGATCTTTCTGGTAGTAGACAGTCCTTTCGCATTGCAATGGGCAACCCTTGTGAATTTTTTGTAGATGTTATGTAAATTTACTGAATACCAAATGGGAATATTGCACGTTTATGTTGATAGTGCTTAATTGACTTCAGAGCTCTATTGAGCAATAAATATGAACATATTTTAATTAATGATAAAATAATGTGTTCTTCACACATTATGCTATAATGTGACATTTTCTCCCAGTGTGTTTGAAATTTCTTATCATTGTCATTTCATGTTTACTTTCTATTATATATGTTAATCTTCCTTATCTGTTACTTTTTTAACTTTATTCAATATACTTTGTGATTCAGAAAGTGATATCCTAGTATTGCTTGCCTTTTGAGAACCCTTGCAAATCATTTTATAAAATTGTAGTGTTATTGTATGTTCAAAATTATGAAATGTTTTTGAAACATTATATTCAATATGATTGTTTTGAAAGAAAATTTTTCAATTGAGTTTTCCTTCGCTTCTTTAACTTTCTGATTCACTACGTGTATTTTCATCTAGACTATTTCAATATAAATAGTGACTTAGAAATGTATGACTGGTCCAAGAATTTGTACGAAAGTGGAAAAATGTGAGAATGTCTGTTTTAGAGGAAAAAAGATATAATTTGATGATGCATTACACCTTTCTGGTCTTGTAAATGAATTATGAGCACTGTGGAGAATTGCCATGTAGAAAGGTGTCTGTGCAATAGCATGTTGTGTTATATGTATACTGGTATACGAACAAAATTCTGACATGGCTCTAATAAGTCACTTTATTACTATACTTCCTTTTGAAACTCTTTGTTAATAGAGGACTTAAAGTTAAGTACAATGCCTTTAAGATTTTAGAGACTGCTAGAGTTGTTTTCTGTGTTGTTTTGTGTGACAAGGATGTATTGTGGTGTCGCATGCATAAAATAGGAAGTTAACTGGCAAATTTGCGAAGTAACATTTGTGTCCAAACTTTGCAAAATTTTGTTTCAAGGCCAATCAAGTTAGTGTCCAATATATTTCATATTTACTGTATATATGTGGCTAATTTTTTTTTATACGTTCATTTTCACATTGCATATGTTGACAGTGTAGTACCAACTTGGCATGATCATCATTGGATCAAGTTTAACTTCAAATGTTTTGAAAGTCCACTGGTTAAAATAGTGTTGCTTATTATTATTCCTTAAAGTTAATGTTTAAATTGCATCTTACAAAGTTTTCTGTAGAAAACTAATTTTTTATGCTTTTTGGTTGACTTGCCATTTTATCCTCAAGAGGTAAGTTCATACGAAACAAGATACAAATGTTTTTAAACCATACTTGAAAATTTTGTTTAATGCTATTTAAAATGTGTTAGAGTACACAGAACTTTAATATTACATTATTTTCAGTTGTGCACAGATGTAATTTTTCTTGCACAGATGTACTTTGGCTTGTACATAACCATGTGGTTTTGGGTGGTAAGTCTTCCTTGATTCACCTTATATATTTTTGTGATCAACCTTCACCTGGTGGTAAGTAAGAAATTTGGCATGATCAATGCACCTATGTGGACACCATTCCCTATTTTCAATATTGCAGATCCAAGTAGTGGCAAATTAACTACTTTAACCAGTGGGGCATCAATAATTGCCAACAGACACTTGTAAGAGTTTCGCTAAGGCAATACGTGGAGGACACTATAGTCCCAGCAGCCCTCTAATGTTAGGTCAAAACTTTTTTAAATTTTATTTGACCGCATCGTTTTACTCAATGAATGTTTGCACTACACTCGTGCTATTCCTGGTTTCTGAGGAGAGGCTCAAATGTGAAAATGAGGACTTAAAATGCAAATTGCCATTATGTTGCTGTTATTTACAGTGCTTGATTGCCTGCCTCTACTATTTTAGTGTTTAATTGTCCTGTGCTATGTACTCTGAAATGTCTTTCTCTTCTTGTTACTCCATGCTTTTGTTAGCGTAGTAAAATGTGTAATTTTTTTGATATAAAACCTTAAAAGTTGTGTTATGAATCCTCGAGTTATTTGAAAGCTTCATGAACTTGTCTAATGAAATTAATTCCCCTCTTTTATTTTATTTTTTTCCCCTCCAAAATGTAATGTGGTCATCTAAATGTTTCTAAACTATTATGTGTTGAATTAATGATATTTGATTCACTGACAAATACTTATTGTGGAATCAGTCACTATTTCACTTGTATAAACATTTTTGATTAGACATTGCATGGAATTCAGCTTTATTGGTTTATTATTAAAGTTGGCCGTGCAGTTTAACTTTCTATTTTCATTAACTTTTTAATATTGAGCAATTTTGATTCAGATTCACTCTTTTCTGTCATGAAGGATGGAAAGATATTAAAGTGAAGGAAGAATGCTGGCCTACTGGAGTATTTAAACAGAAACTAAGCATGTAGTAGTGGGGCTTTTGTGTATTAGGGACTATTATTCATTATGTACATATTTTACCAAAAGGTAAAATAATTACATGTATGAATATTTATGTTAATTCAAATTAACATAAATGTGTGTATTATATGAGGTGTGAATGTGATTACTTGTGAATATGTGACTTCAGATTGTGGGTGAAAGAGATTGGTTGATGTGAGATGTGTGATGAATAAATGTGTTACCTTGTACAGAATAATTTTTGGTGCCAAATGGAATGCTTTTTTGTATGTGGTACAAGGTTGGTATTGCAATCTTCCTGTGAACAATGTGGGGCATTATGTCTGCTATTGTAAGTGGACTTGTCAACCAGGCATATCTTCAGGAGTCCAGAAAATAGCTCAAGAAGTTTGTTGTTTAAGTTCCATTCCTCCACTTTCTGTTTTGGAGATTGATAATGTGAACTTAATTGCCCATGTCTGGACATGCCCTTACGTGTTAGGTCCATTTACTCACTTGAAGAAATCTTTAAATTTCTTTGCAAGTTGTAGGTGAACTACTGTCATACCTATTTGTGCATGGGATAGTTAGCGGTATTTGTTCCATGAAAATGTACAGCTTAAAATGGTAATTTTGGCATTGTCATATGTAATTTACACAGTACTTCTCCCAATGTGTGTTGCCTATGCTTTGTATGTTCAGTGTTTTGGCATATTTATTGAGACCTCAGGCTCAAATACTTTAGAGCCTGAATTTTTGTTCTTTTTTGTGCAAGTTTGACAGACATTAATAAAACTTTAAAACAATTGTTAATTCTTAAATACAAGAGAAAATTGTGAAAATGCTGAAGTTCCACGTTATAAGTGTAGCTTTGGAAATTATGAGATTCTTTGCAAGAATGCTGCTCACTTTCTCTGCAAGGACATTTACCATTTCTCTTTGATTAGAATCTGTGTATTTGTCTGACAGAGCATCATGCATGTTTCCCCCCACCTTTTTTTGCTTTGACCTTCTTGAGAAGGATTTAAAAAAAATGAAAGTGTAGATAAAATGCAATGTCATCCACTACTTTATGAAGACTGTTTTATGATGCATTGTATCACAAATCAGAAGAATTCTGTTGGTGAGGGACAGAATTTGAAGATGAGAACCTCAGATAATATTGTGACAGGTAAACAATTTTCAACAGAGGTAAAATAAAGATTTTGTCATGCACCCTTAACATAAACTGAGTTTGCATTTAAGAAAAGACTGGTGCCTGTGATTTCCTATAGTTGTTTCAGTTTCCCTTTGGCAATTCATAATAAATTATTTGAAAAATATATCTTATTGTTTTCATGTAGGTATACAAAATTACTCTACATCATGAACATTATTTCATTTTATAATTATCTACATTTAAGTGTAGAATCCCACTTTGTTTGAATACCCTCAACCCGTGCGCTGCTCAAGTACTTCGTGAAATCTTTTTTTAGTTCATTGAATGTTTTGTGTTGTGTGAAAGAAGATATAACAAGTAAGGGTTTTCAAAGAAGCTCTTCTCAGAAAGGCTAATGTGCAGCAACAATAGGTAAAGGAAATTCAAAATATTTCATTAAAAAATCGTAGGTATGTAGAAGCACATACTCAAAGTGGTCAAAATGTCTTTGCAAGTTTCTGGTGTGTGTAGAAAATACAATTTAATTTTTCTATCTGGGTTTTAGTCTTACACTGATTAATTTTGGATTTTTTTTTCTTTTTAAATTACCTTACTCCCGTTTTAACAAATCCATAACTTAGTAAGACCTGTTTTTGTTCTGCCTGGTTTGCATAAGTATTTTCACATATTATTCATTTTATTGTTTTTGGTAATCAATCAGTATATTTAAACTATAAATAAAGTGTACTTTCAAATGGGGCTACATTATAAATTGATTTTGTGGGGTTCCCATGAGGTATGTCGTTATAAATATATTGAAACAATTTGGTTTTTAATTTAGAAAAATTTATGGCACATTTGTTTTCTTCTTTCTCCATTTTTATTTGAAAAATTCATGTGGCCTGAAGATAATGAAGTATGTGAATAGATGAGTTTAAGATGGTGGCAATACTATGAGAATTTGGCAGCAAATTCAGAACACACCGGTTAATACTAATTTTAAATTAAATTTTTGCATGCAATATTTTGTGTAATGAATTGCCAATTTGTTTATGTGAAATTACACAAATTTTTCAACTAACATAATGAGTAATGTTCAAAGGAAGTTTATCATATTGGATTAAAGTTCAGAATTAGTTTTGTTAGTTACTGTTACTCTTATTTTCTCATACAGATTTTTGCTTAAAAGGAGGGGAGAAATGAATTAGTAACTTCTATGAATCAGTGTTGCCTTAAAGTTCATGTGGACATATCTTATAATAAGGATCACTGAAACAATAAATCAATTAGGATCACTGAAACAATAAAATATAAGGAACATTTTTTAAATAATTAGTGCCGAGATGACAATGCACATTTTCTTCTTATTTTATTGCTCATGCCTATCTTGCAAATGACCCTCAACTTCGCTCCTTTTGCAAAAGCATCTTGATCTTCATGTTTTAATTACATCTGTGAAACTATTCTTATGCATTTGTGTGAACAATCACTTGAAGATGCAGGTTGCATTAATAGGCTGCATTTTGCATGTACGTGTTGCTATGATTGTGAGCCCACAGAGCTTATATTTTCAATGTTTTTTGGGATTCCTTTTTCAATGCAGGTTTCCACAACTGTGGGAATAGAAATTCTCCTTTTTGGGGAGGGGATCATTGCCAGTTTTCAACACTCTTCCCATTTTGTATGTACTTATTAATGTGGACTTCTTCTGGTGTACTTTTTGTCAAGAGGAATTCGTATTTTAATATTGTTTCTTACAAAAATTTGCAACTCTTTTTGCCAGTGTTGAATGTAAACTTATTGCTCAATTTCCCTAATGGGTTTTAGGCCCATTGAAAAACTTTTGCATTCGTTATATTTATTTTAGTACTTAACCTGAAAAACAATTATTACGTCGTAAATCAATTACATTTTTCTTGGATTGTAACGTAACTTTTATGTTAAATGGCCAACAGATTTTCATTCAGCGTCACTGCATGTGTTACAGGACACTGAAAGAATATTCTATTCAACTGTTCTACTTCATAATATGACATTTGGTAGGGAAGCAAAACTATTGTTCCACAATCTCCATCTGCTACATCAGTATATAATATACTATAATATAATATTATTTGGTTATTTTTTGGAAAAATTACTTACAATCCATTCCTTTGAACATTTTGCTGTTGCATTTCAAATTCATGTTGGTAGTATGAAACAATGGCCTGTGACACCAAATATTGTAAGGTAAGTTCTTATTTTAATATATATATGTGTATTTATATATAGTTGTGTGAGAGTTGTATGAACATTTTTTAAGCATTGAAGCAAACTTGGTGCACATAGAATTTGACACATCTTACATATTATCTGCTAAAATACTTGGTGTGTTCCGTGCATGTGGTCAAATATTTTTTTAGTGCCTTGATTCCACCTGAGATTTTTAGTCCTGTGCATAGCCACTCATGCACTGCGTCTTGCGTGTCTGCACAGGCTTTTGCAAGGCTATGAAGCAGAGGGTTGCGGCTTCCCCCAGCAAATAGTGACTGATGATTACTGGGTCCCCTGCTTCCAGTCGGATACAAAGAGGACTCACAAAGTATGGTGCCATTTCAACTTGCCAACACCTCAAAAATAAACATCCTATACACAGTTGTGTAAACAAATCATTGGTGCTGTTCTTGGACCAAAGAGATACACTGTTATTGATTTCAGTATGTTCAAGGGGCAAAAGAGTATCTGTATTGTTATTTATGTTTTGAATTTTGTGGAGCAGCTATAACAAGGCACTGGACTGCTTAATAGCGCTGCTTACATTAACATAACTGCTCAATTTTGCTATGTTCTGGTTGCATCTCAAGAACAAATGAAACAGTGCTATTTGTTAAATGGATATATGAATTCACAATTCAACACTGAAATGGAGGGCCAAGTAGGGACATATTGTATTATTGAACTGATAGTATTGTGTGAGTGGCTATGTTTGTGTAGTAAGAACTTGCACCAGGAATCCAGGCACTGGTGAAGCTTCAGATGTGTATTGAATGCAACAGAATGTGTACTGAATAATAATAAATTTGTATCAAAGTGGTTTTGTTTGTGAAAGCAGTGTCAAACCACCCCTTTGCCTTTGGATTTTAATAACTTGAACCAAGGGTATCAGTACCTATCAAGTACCGTTGAACTTGAATACCAAGAAATCAAGAATTGTAGGTCAGAGCTTCTGACTGTAGGGTCGGTTATGGCTAGTCAGAGAAATTGTTGTATTTCCAACATTCTTTATCTGTATTGTTATCTGCGGTCACAATTTGTTAATCCTACGAGTTAGTCTGCCTTCATTGCTGAAAATTGGCATCTCCAAGGTCTTAATCTTCGATAAACGAATTATAACATATTTCATCCCTTGGATAATGTGGCCCCTAAGTCTTGTTCATTTTAAATGCTGTAATTTTTTTAGAATACTATTGTAATTTTTAAAAAATCAAAATTTTAAGGTACGCAAGTCTTCAATTTTTTAAATTTTTGTTATGTGGAAGAAATTTTATCTTTGACATTGGGTCACATGAATAAAAGCAAGTAAATGCTATTATTAGAACCTTTTGAAGTAAATACTTTTGTTTTGGTTAATAAAACTTGTGTACTAGCTTTTACTTGAAGTAAATACTCTATCTCATAGTAAGAACTTATTTTTATAGCATTTACTTAAAATGTGAATAAAACAGCTTTTACTTCTCTTCATAAGTAAATACTCTGAATTTTTTAAACACAGTGGTGACTAAACTAGGGAGTGAGTTTTTGCAGAAAAGCTCAGCAAGTGTGGGTGTGTTTGGAACAAATTACATATTAACAAATGTGCAAATGGCGTACGCCCAAGGGGGGCGGGCACGGCCCCCTAAAAATTTCAATGGGGAAGCATAGTCCTACTTCAAAATATTTTATGTCCTTGAATTTGATAAATTTCTGAACCCCCCAGTTTTAAACTGTTAATTTGGGGAATTGATACAAGACATTTGAGGGACAGGTTTTTCAAACCGCCTGACAACCATGTAAATGGTTGCACATGAAAACAATTGAATTGTGGTCGGACTCCAACAAGAAAGGTTACAGCAGCGATGCCTGCGCTCAGCCGTGTGAGACACAAACCGAACACCGACTTGTCGTTCAGAGTTCGTAACTTTTTGTTGTTCACTATTTGATATATGTACTATTAAAAAAACATGACATTAGGCGAATGTTAAAAAAATTGCTAATCTGACATGGTTTTAACTTTGTTTCTTGAAGTAAAATTATTTTCACTTGTTCTAAATATATAATATCATTCAAAATTTAAGTATTGAAATATGTCGATATTTAAATATACAAAGCACTTTTTGTCTCTATTTTATCTCGTGCATGCTCATCGTGAATATTATGTTTTAAAACAATTTTCGTCTCATGAAAATTTTGAAGCGAGTATTGTTGTCTACACCTGTGTCTGTTTATAACGTTTTGTTGTTGTTTTTTTGAAATATAATTGTATTCCCGACCGAATATACTTTTTTAATATATGTAATTTATTAATTATAATCAATATAAGTATGTAAATGCAGTTTTTATGATCTATGCATTGTTATAGAATGTTACACATTGATTTCATTTTCGGACAAATTTATACAGAAAAAATTAAAGGGTGGATCTTTTTTTTTTTTAAGTAAAGACAAAAAAATAAGGAAAAGCTTGCATGTACAAACCAAATTATTGCTTTTGTGAGTTTTATGATGTGTTTCAACATACAGCATACATTGGAGTAATAAGGGCGTCTAACATGTAAATCCTTTGAGGGAGACATCAAACGAAGTGATCCCCTAATTTCCGTTTAAGTAATGACAAATTTTATATTTATTAATACAAGATTTACTCGTTAAATTAAAAATACCAAGTTATATCGCAGATATTCATGGATCTATAACAATTTCCTACGGCCTTGTGATTGTAACGTTAAATTTGAGTACCTGGAGCAAGATTTTTTTTTCTGCTTTCACTACTTTTAGTTAAGTATATGCTGCCAAAAAACATTTTCGGATAGGATGTTCCCGTTAGCAATAATTTAGAAACCGACCGGGTTCCAACGAAATAACTTATTTGACGCTGCTGGAACATCGGGCGTTATAATTTAGTTCGTTGGAGTGAGTTTGACGAATTGGCAATTTCAGCAACACCAGATGGAGTGATTCCTTAAATTTATTTCGTGTGGCGAGGCCAATCCTTCGACATCCGATGCGTTTTCGAAGGATCTTACATTGTCCAAGAGCAACTTCACGTAACCCCCTGCAAATTAAAAAAAAAAAAGTGTCGCTAAGATTGTTTCTCATATCAATTCGATGGAGAAAACTTATAATAAAAGACATCTTAAAAGAAAAAAATTGCATTACCTTTTGTTTTTAAGAAACCACTTTTTAAAAAAATTTGTTCCTACGACGGTTTCAACAGTACAATATCAACCCGCAATTTTTGACAGATTAACCATAGTTCAGCAACAAAATTCTGACAATTACCTTAGAAAAGCTTAGTCGACGGTGATTAGAACAGTAGGAGTGAGGCGCAAGCAATGAGGTTCTCGTTGTTTTCTAGAAAATGCGGGCTCGCAGGGGAATCCATACATTATACTCACCTGTTCAGGTCAAACTTCGTAATATTCCTTTCCCAAGCATTTTTACTTCCTCGCCATACTACGTATGTGTGTCGTAAAGAGAAAGTATTGTAATGTAACAAAATCGACGATTTTTAGACAAAAACTCGTAGTGGAACCCTGATATTGAAAAAGTGGATAAATCGTATTTCTGTGTGTTGTAAATTACTTCGTTTATCACATGCAGTTAAGAGTTCACATTTTGAGTCTTTGATACCTAAATATTGGTTGTCAGCAAAAAGTCTGTCCAACATTACCACTTAAACCGTTCAGATATTCCCTCTGGTATTCCCGCTTCGATCTGGCCCAACTCGAAGCCGTTTTTGTTAAACTCTTGTTCTGAGATAGAGTACAGGACGCAAAAAGATGCCGTTGATCCCATTTTCGTTGAACTTTATACTTTCGAAAATGTCGAAAAATTAGTATTGCAGAAGTTCAATGTTGACAATAGGGGAAAATATTTTTATAAGGGGATTTTTTTTTTTTTTTTTTAAGAAGTTCCTGTGCGATATTTGAAGAAAGAAATGAGTTTTCTCGTAATTTTTGAAGTTACGGTAAACATTCTCAAAAACTGCTCCAATTTGTTTTCTTATTTTTTCCTCGGATACAGCAAAGGACGCTTAAAAATGGCACAGGTCTCATTTTTGCTGAATTCACTGAATTTTCGCAAAAGTTAGAAATGAAATGAGAGCATGCACCACCACTAGTTTTGTTTTTGACTAATGAACGGAAAACATTTTTGTGTACTCATGGTTATCGTTTTGCCATGGGGTGTAGTACAAAGTACCCTCTCTGCCGAACACTATTGTGTTCTAACCGTTCTGTCTTCTTTTTCATTACTATTGAATAAAGTGTATAGTATTTATTACTATTGAAATAGTGATGCTAAAACAGCACGTACTTTCTCGACGTATTTTCACGTAAAATTACGCGAAAAAGTACTAAAATTTTCGAAACATTGTGCATGACCTTATTTAAAATGTTTCATTAAGGAAAAAACTGAGTTTAATATTATAGTTGTAGGAAGACACCGAAGAAATTTTAAATCTTTGTAATTTTCGAAAAATCAGGGTTTTCAACGAACATGAGACCTCCACCATTCTCTTAAGCGTCCTTCACAATATCCAACAAAAAAATTAATTAACTATGGAACTATTGTTTTGAGAATTTGGAAAATGTCACAGCGGCTTCATGTAAAATACCCCCCAAAATTAAAAAATCGGTTTCAATGTCAAGGGGCCGCGACATCAGTCACATCGATTGAGGAATATCAATTTGGAAGAAAAGCGGCTGAACGGTTTATCCGTTAGCTTGTTCACAGGCAGACAGATGGGGAAGAAAAAAAAAACAATTTTTTTGCCGTGATTGGTTTTTTCGCTATCAAAGACCCACAAAACATGGATTCTGGCTACACCCCGTGTTGAGGATTTCTTCTACATTTTACAACTGGATTTATCCCTTTTTTTATCAGGGTCCTGTAATACGTGGTTTTCTGCAGAAAATTCGCAGGGATGTTTTTCTTTTTTTCCGTTCAGTATTACATAACTTTCTCTCAACTCCGTAATGAGAATGTACAAACGTAGAGAAGTGTGAAAGAACTTTAGATCAGGGTATCGAGTTGTTGGCGTGTACAGTTCGGCTCGGATCATTATTTCTCCACAAGGCTGCTAATCCGAAGCCCGCAAATCCGAAATTTCGAATAATCCGAACGAAATTCGGGATGGAGGAAAAAAACAAATTAAATGCTTATTTGTAGTGTAAAGAAAATAGTTTATATTGACTGTAGAGCTGAAAAACTAATTATTGTAACAAGTTGTAGAAATAAAACGTTTATTGCACTGGTAACTACGGTATATATCATATGTTTATTTTGAGTAAGAGGATCTTGCGAAATCGGTAAATTTCTATTGTCGTAAGGAACCGAATCTGCTTTATGTGATCGCTACGCTGTGTTGCCCTTTTCTCACATCGCATGCTGCATTGCATTGGGTCCGGTAATCCTATCGGTGTATTTGTATATGCACGGTACATTTTTTCGGATAATCCGAACAGAAGACCACACCCCCAATTAGTTGGGAATACCGGGGTTGTACTGTAATACTAAAGAGTTTGTGGCAAATCAAACCTGAGTAAGTCTAAGCAGTTTCCTTTCCTACTTTCATACTGGGAAGTTGTGGCTTTTATAATGCTATATCGTTTGAGGTCGACGTATCGTATGTTTCGATAGTGTATCCGCTAGGTAAGTGAATGTAGGAAAGGCGGAAGCAGGTTGGGACAAGAGGAACACTTTTTGTACATTACTGGTTTACAGCGCCTTCGTGACCCAGGTTCGAGAGGTGCATTTTACCAGGGCGGCAAAAATTAGAATATTTATTTAAAAACTGAATGAAACAACACAAAATTTGTAACATACATCAAAGAGCAATATACTCTTAGCCCTGCGAGTTAATAAACTTCGTAGATGTATAACCATAGACACAAGGTCTCATATTTCACCGGCCACGTGAAATAAACAGGGCAATTCATAGGGCGGCATTGTTCCGTCTGATGGTGGTCAACGCTAGCTGTTCAGACAGTTGGCTTGAAACTGATATCTCCTCATCGATCTGGACAAACTCGAGGCACTGCGAATTGAAGCGGATATGTCGATTTTGTGCAGTACTTTACATGAAGACCAAATAAATTTATCAAAATGTTCTCAAAAATGACCTCATTTTTTATGAAACGTCCTTGGGTAGTAAACTTTTAAAAGAACGTCTCAGGTCTCATTTTCGTTGAAGTTTATGATTTTTTGAGTATTGCCAAAGTTTGACATTTTTTTCGGCGACATTCTATAACTTCAATATTGAAGATATAGAAAGAGATTTTTCTTAATCAAATATTGATAAAAGACGTCTTGAAAAATGGACAAGTACAATTTTCAGAAAATGTAACTTCCATGTAATTTTGCGTGAAATGTAAGCAATTTCTAAACATTTTTTTTCTCAAAAATACTTAAATGCTTCCTCGTGCGTAGCAAAGGGAGGTACAAAAATTGTGCTGGTCCGATTTTTGCAACCGGTGCACATTGCAAAATCAAACGCTCTGAATTTTCGAAAACTGCAAAAAATTAACTCTGGAAAAATGCAATGTTGATGGTGGAGTCTTTCGTCTTAAATTAAATCAGTTTAATAAGTAGATCTTTTATACATTCTTTTAAATAAATCAAGTAATTTTCATGTAATCTCTGATTGAAGTAACTGCAATTTATAAACTAGTGGTGCTAAAACAGCACGTAATTTCTAACCTTTAGTAATACTCATGTAATACTATTTTTACGACAATTTCTCTCCGAATTAACACATTTCATTCAACATTTTTTGTAAAACTCATTTGACATCATAGAACATTTAGTGCGAAAATTAAGTAGTTTCAAGCAATAGATTTTTTATTCAAAACTTTAAAGGAAACGATATTTCTGATATTGAATTCATTGTATAAGGTTTGCAGAGTGTTCACGAACATATCGGATGAGTTTTTAGCCTTAAAATATTCTTCGTAAGCAGTATGCGAGAAAGTAAAATAAATAATATTACAATCATAGCATTGGCAAACAAATGCAAATATATAGAAAATATATATAATAGTAATTATTAAACACTATGGTATTGTAATATTCTTCAAATATATAAAAGTATTAGTTTATATTACGCAAACGAAAGGCAGCCGTCTTTATCGCCTTGTTATCAGTGCGGCGTTACAACATTGGGTTATAACAAGCAACAATGTTCGCTAATTCGTGTGGAATACACATGTTGCCAATTATCATTGTTGTTACCGCAAAAAATTAAAATGGATAGAAAAATATAATTAAAAGTAATATTTTTATATTCATCA